ATATTTTCTTATCAAACTAAATAAAATAATAAGTTATGATCGACCAATATTTTATAATGAGCATTTCTAAAAATATTTGCATAATTATTGAATATTATAATTTCTAATTATTTCTAATAATTTGAAAATAATTACTGTACTGGTCAGCTAAATATTTCAAATACAATTTAATCTATCCTGAATATTCAATATTGTACAACATATCTAATCTTTCTAGAAAAAATAATTTATTATTATATTATTAAACTATAATTCTTATTCATTATTATTAAAGTGAATAAAAGGAGCTAAATTTAGATATACAACAAATCTAAATTCATGCATGTATTAAAAATTAAAAGTAGTTTCTATCCTTCTTTCCAAAATATTCAAAACAGAATGGAATTAGCTTGATTATAAAGTTCTATCTAAATAGAGGAAAGAAAAAAATGGGTGACATTTGCTATGAAACCGAATACATATAAGATTATAATATAATAATTTTAACAATTTATTTTTTATCATTTATCTTGTAAGCTTTTTCTAGGGTGTATTTCTCAAATGACTATATATGACATTTTTTAAGTTTTTCTAATCTCATAATCCTCTTTCAATTAGTTGATATATGCTTGATGGGCAATGTATTTTGAAATTTAAACTTCAAATAATTAAATTGCATGGCATTTAGATATTTATTATAAATAAAGTTATGAACTTTTGATTCTATGATTAGCTGATTTAATTAATTTGATCAATTATAGATTATTAGTTGAATTAATCTAGTTTTGTTTGAGTAATTAGTTTTTCAATTTCATCAAAGAGGCTATATGTAACATTTGATTGTCCACATATCCAAATTTGTTTGATCCATTCATTTGCATTTCCAATCATATAATCCAATTATTAAACAACATTAGATTTTAATTGATGAAGAGTTTTTTAAAGTTATTCAAGTTATTTGATGTTAATCATTAAAACATTCTCAACAGATTCTTTCTTTGACTGTTAATTTTATTCAATATTTTCTAGTGTTTTTTTAAAACTCATTATTTGGGTTTTTGATTCTAAATTTTCCATACATAGACTACATAAAAGTCTTTAATTATTCTTGAGATCTTTATCACAAGAAATCATTAGCACTGGAAGCTTATGATTCAAAGAACAAAACAGATCTTCCATTTTTTCTATCATTTTTGATTAAATCATTTATAATTAATTAATTAAAAAAAGTTAATATGATGTTAGACTTTAAAATCATAAATCATGCCATTAGTACTATAGCAAAGATATGAACCATGATTTAATGTAAATTATGATAATACAAAGTAAATAAAATAACTTAAAATGATTTTATTCATTATACGACTAATAATATGACATTAAAGATTTTCAAAAAGTTCAACTGCTTTATTGTTAGATGATTAAATTCTATATATATTTTGGAGAGATTAATGTTGATTTAGCCTTAAAGAATCTCTTAAAAATATACAAATTCAATTTAATGAAGTTTTCTCCAAATAAATTATGATTATATCAATTCAAAATTTTGGAGTAATTTATTTTAAGTTTCTAATTATGTGAAGTTTAATTAATTGAAATCTAAAACTTTTCAAATATGCCAAATAATTAGAAAAGCTTTTGTAAAAAGATGTATTATAAAATCATCACGATTTGGATAATTAATATTGAAACATGTTGGGATGATTTGATAAATATATTTGTTTAGACTCCCAAAAAGAGTTTATTAATACTACTATTAAAGAATAAGTTAAAAAATACGTAGTTCGAACATACAGTGGATTTTCTCATCCTTTTATTTTTTTTCAAGCAATTTCAGGTGTGCTTAAGAATATTTGCCTATCTCTTATATTTTATATGCCAAGGGCCTTAATCAAATGAATTTCAATTTTAACTGTTTTCTAATTCAAAAGCATTTATAAATAAACAACATCAAGATTAATATGATTGAGAAATAATGTATATAATATTCTTAGACTATTATATAATTTTATAAATTTATTGTTAAATTATATGATATGAAAAAATTAATATATTTAATCCAATCACAATATAACATTAAGCTGCTAAAAAGGCTTTCATAAAACCCATTTGCAAAACGATAATCTAAAAGATAGAATCATAGCTCTATGAAAATAATTTTATTATGCCTAATAGAGTTTGTTGTAAACTTTGCAAGGAAACAGGTATAAATGTGAAACTTATTTACTAATACTTTTTAACATTTAAGTAATCATTAAATATATAAAATCTTAATGCTAATAATAATTTAAGGATATAAACATTTTACTATAACTCAAGAAGTAGCTGCTTTTAAATATTTTATTAGTACTAAAATGCAAAGGCATTTTTGAAATTCATTGAAAATAATTCAATAACTATTATATCTACTAAGGGTTTATAAGATTTAGAATAGGATAATAATTAAATTACAGTCATCCAAATTCAATAATAAATGAGCAATCACCTTGCAAAATTTAAGAATTTGTTAAGTGGTAGAGCTAAACCAATTTGAGAATGAATAAGAAATATTGATTGTTGATGATGAAACCTTTAATCATGACACTTATGATGATGTTTTTTCTAATTATCTTAATTCTCATTCATATAGAATTTTTCCTGGATCATAATTTTCCTATTTTTTTCAAAAGAAGTATCTTATTATATATAACTCAATCATCATATTCTTAAGATAATCTTTCAAACTACTGGAGCTCCATTCTTGAATTTAACTTCAATTAATTTTTGAAAATAAAAATGGTTATATTTACTTTCATATCAAATTAGCTAAAATTAAATTTTCAGAATTCAATTAGTTCAGGAATTATCTCAAAATCTGAAAAATTTTACATTTTCTATTGCCACTTGAGAAACAGAAATTAACAAAGTTTCATAATGCTTCTAATGTATCATCATAATTAATATCTTGAAAAAGATTAATAAGAACCTAATTGTATGTACTGAATCCAAATGTTTAAACTATTTGTATCCTCTATTTAGTATCATTTTCAAAATCTTTCTTCTAATGAATCTTCATACTGTAAATCTTGTATATTTTTTAAAATTCTCTTTTAAATTGCAGTCAAGTACATGGTGACAAAACATTTTGTAAAAATTACTTTTATTTGTTTGGTATTATTATTTTAGATGATATCTAATTATTATTAAGAACAAAATAATATATTGATATTGCTTTTAAAAATTTTTCTCTGTTAGTAAATTCTAAGCCTCATAATTTAGAAAATATATTATTATTTAAAATTATCTCAATTAACTAAAATTGAAATAAAATTTAATAGGATATCGAAATAATTAAACAAAATTAATAAGTATATTTCTAATTATTTTGATTTTCTGTGGGGAATGTAAAAATAAATAGGATTGGTTAATTATATTATAAAGCTACTTCTTGACTGTTAATTATCAGATAAATGATAAAGGCATCAGGATAATTGTAGTTAATTTA